ACGTCCAAATATTTATGTGTCATGAGTTTTAGAAGTGACAGCACAATGATGTCACACAGCAAAAGAGGTCAAGAACTGCTGCCGATGTTAAAAAGTGCTTGACCGACTTCTCAAAACACCTCATAACCAGCTTTTAAAAGAGTGGTTCTTAGAGACTCCGGTCTGAGAAATCATCAGCTTGTTAGTGTTAAAATTTGAAAGTATTTGGGAATGCCTTACATTCCCGTGCTTAATGTTTTTCTCCCAAGGACCTGGATTTCCACTGCGTGACAGTTGGCAGGTGTGACATGAAAGTTTTCTTTTTAGAACTTAGAATAGTAATGGCTATTAATTAATTAATACAAAATTAATATTAATACAAAATACAAAATAAAAAATTAATTAATACAAATTGCAAAGCAGATTGAAAGTTGCTTCTAACCTCTCCCACCCCAGAACCACAAAATGACTGTAAAACGATTTAAACAGCTTTACAGCTCAAGTAATACAAGTTGTCACTGTCCATTTTTAAAAGATGAATTGTGAAATGTGTAGCAAGTGCTTTTATAGAACTTTAAGCTTCACATTTCTATATTTAAAGCCTCCAAAAATCAGCCCCATTCAGTTCCATTGCAAATGGCTCTCTATTTTTTGTATTTTTTATTTATTTTTAGTCAAAAGGAGGGACAAATTGAAATAATTTCTGTGGTAATCAACATTATGCCACTAATGCTGTCAATTGAACTTCTTTTAAATATTCCTTTGAGCTTTTCACACTTTAAATGAACTCAGGGTCATTTTAACTATGGGTCAACATAATTCTGCATGATTGATCTTGTTGCAAGTTGCACTTGGTTCATATAATAATAAAATCCAAGTAGTCAGGGTTTTGCAAAAACTGCATCTTATTTACATATTTACAAAACTAAAAACATTAATTGGACAGTTTCTCAACTCTACCCACTCCTTAGCTAACATAATAATACCGTTTGTCAGTTATGTGTCATTTAAAAGACAGTTATTGAAGTACATGTCCTCCTGGAGTAACGTGAGGGTTACTCTGTGGAATAATGATTAGATGGTTCCTTCAGAACAACTCTGAAAACACAGTTCACCTACAGTGCAACTACTGTTAGCATGCAGGCCTTCACTGTTCACACTACCTCCAGCTATAATTAAAAATTAGGTTCATATAATAATAAAATCCAAGTAGTCAGGGTTTTGCAAAAACGGCATCTTATTTACATATTTACAAAACCAAAAACATTAATTGGACAGTTTCTCAACTAAAACAAGTTGCATGCTCGTTCTGTCAATTAAATTGATTAATTTAACTAAACTCTTCCATCACTGCACTGTACTTTACATGTTTCCCTCATATGCTGAAACTAAATCCAGTGCGTGAGTTTCTGTGACTGTATTCATAAAAGTGCATGAATATTTAATAAGGCAGGCATTGTTTACCTTATGATTGGATGGTAAACAACTGATGTTCTAGCAGCATGTTATTTGACACTTGCATGCCTTTGGCACTGCAAAAGAGCTTCATAAGTCAGAGTTAACAGCGGAATGCAAAAACTGCATCTTATTTACATATTTACAAAACTAAAAACATTAATTGGACAGTTTCTCAACTAAAACAAGTTGCATGCTCGTTCTGTCAATTAAATTGATTAATTTAACTAAACTCTTCCATCACTGCACTGTACTTTACATGTTTCCCTCATATGCTGAAACTAAATCCAGTGCGTGAGTTTCTGTGACTGTATTCATAAAAGTGCATGAATATTTAATAAGGCAGGCATTGTTTACCTTATGATTGGATGGTAAACAACTGATGTTCTAGCAGCATGTTATTTGACACTTGCATGCCTTTGGCACTGCAAAAGAGCTTCATAAGTCAGAGTTAACAGCGGAATGAAATGTTACTTAACCTATGGTTAAAAAGAAATTAACCTAGAGCTAAGTGTAGAATTAAAATAATTTTCCCCAACACACAGAATTTTTAAAGGGGTCATATGATGTTGCTAAAAATAACATTATTTTGTGTATTTGGTGTAATGAAATGTGTAACACTCCAAAGAGAAAGGAAAATTGAAATCGCATAATATGACCCCTTTAAAAGGTAAAGGAGAAAACAGAACCAGACATGGACACATTTTTGGTCTAAAGTTGCACTTTAATCCTAACACTTATTGGCTGTTTGGCCCCCTCCCTTCTTTGCCCACCCCGTTCCCACCCCATACAACAGGCACACAGAGAGCGATGAGTAACAGACAGTTCAACAGTTCTGAAACAAAATCCAGATTCAAATCCAGAGCGGATTACAAATTCCATGATGAGCTTCTGAGGTAAGAGTGAGACACACTGACAGAGAGGAAAAGGATCTTCGCAAAAACGCAGATACAGAGTCGAAAGTGACCATCGTCATGGAGTTAGCATCGTCACCAACATCAAATGTCCAAAAGAGAAGCGGGTATGTGTTCTGAGAACAAAAGTAAAAGCATCTGCATGTTTCCTGACAACATGTTACGGCAGAACTCTTTGGTTTCAACTCTTGAGGTTTTATAGCATGAAAGTCTTCCTTTGTTGACCTAATCAGTTACCTTTGGATTGAAGCTGTAGTAGCTCAAGGGAAACAAACTGGAAAAACATGTTGCACTGGATATTAATTTAAACGCAGTCAAAATAACTGAACAAACTGTTCTAAGTTCTAATTTGAATGTAGCTAAGATAGAAAATTCCGATACTTCCGTTTAAATGTGAGATTTACCTCTATTTGGCAAAGCAAAACAACAGAACATACTGCACAAAATGACAACGATGCAGTCGTGGACATTCCTGCTGTAAATGGTTGAAGAACAGTTTTGCGTGTGCATGTCTACAAGAACATCCATGCATTTGAGCGCGTCTAGCATGTGAGAGGTCCCGCAGTAGAGGTTTAACTTTGGTATCATTCAGGGCCCTCTACGGCAGAGCCGTCCGCACACACCAACACACAGAGATATATACAAAAAAAAACAATCACATGAGCAACGTACACATAGAAAACCAAAATCTGCCATCAACTGTTCTTCAAAACCAATCCAGGGCTGGATATTTTTACCGGATTTAGGATAGATAATCTGGGGAAATCTGTGAACCTTTATACTCACGCGAAAAAGACACTAAAAAGACCCTCTCCTGAGCAACATCTCCTCTGCTCCCCTTTGTCAAATTCTTAAAGCTTTTTATCCATCTATTTGGCATTTCTAATCAAACATGAGGTATATGCAGAAGCGTATATCTCTCTCACTCTTTTTCCCTCATCCAACGCATATTAAAAAAACGAAGCAAAATCGAAATGAAAAGAAACAGTTGGAACGAGAGTTATACTTAAAATTAGCCCATGAATGTACATTACATTGACTAAATGTGAGAGATATAGTTTAGGGACTTGTCATCTCTCGAAAGCGGTGGACAAATTTTTTGAAAAGGTGCCCACAAAAACAACAGTTTTAGTAGCTAGTTTTGGTTTCAAAAACTTAAGTTTGTCTTCAGATAAACAATGACACTTGCTTTTTTCCTGAAGCTACCCCACATTTTGCCCAGTTTGGTTTTCCGAAAATTAAAAAAAGACCGAATCGATAAATGAAAATGCTATAAATACATAAATAAGCCAATAAATAAGATGAAGAGTTGGAAACATAAATCATCGATACACCGTCCCCTCACACAATAAATACAAATTTTTGAGGGAAAAAAAATCAAAGAGAGACAATTTAAAGCTTTTGGTCTAAAATCAAGTCATCATCATCATCAACATTTCATAAGGACTATTTTTATCACATCCTTTTTTTTTTTTTTACATTAGCAATAGTAAGCAGTTGAACATAGATTTTTTTTCCTACAAAATCTATCAAAGCACTAACAGGTACATTCCCTCTAGAAGTGTAACGTCAACTGGATTTCCAGTTGCTTTTAAACCCCCATCCCACCCCGTCCCACCCACCTCTACATTTCTCCTTTGTCCGCGTTTTTGTTTGCATCTAAGATCACATAGTCAACAGTTTCGCCGACACACCGAGCGAAAGTTACGTTGGCTTACCGGTCGTGTTTCGGTTTGGTTTCCATGCTGGAGATGAGCTTCCACATTACACACGTCTCCCTATCTCTCCTCGAAGAGACCTAGCACCAATACGGTCTTTCTCCACGTGTTGTGCATTGGTTAGGTTGCTATTTGGTGTCAAAAAAGAAAGGTTTTCGCTTTTGGTATGTCTTCAGTTTTGGCTTATTGTTTCACAACATTCACAATCGAAGCAAAACTTGGAAGCTACATGTTCACAGTATTGTTTCAAACCGCCTGATGAGGGAACCCCCCCTCGGCATGATCAATTCAAAATGACGAAACACAAAAAATGAAAATAGGCAATACGTCACCCCATTATCCCAAAAATATAAAGCAATGAGACGAGTCATACAGCATAAACAGACAGACTGAGAGGAAAAAGCAATAAAACAAAATATATACGTTTATATATATATTCTGATGTTCCGTTCAATGAGGTTAATAAATATTCTCCCGTCCAGGAAGGAGAGTGAAAGCAACGACTTAACGGAAAGAAGGAGGGAGGAGGTGAAGGAATGATCTTCTGGTCGAAGCCACGTTGAGTCTTGCTACACTAAACACCTCCTCCTCGTGCACCTCCTGTGGTCCACTCCTAGTATTTGGTTTCATTCCATTGAGTAAAGCTCAGTTGGTTTTGGTTTGGTTTCATTTTTGGTTTAATCCATGTGTTGGAAAAATAAAAATAAGTGACAATGGCGACAACATCACATGTCTCCCCTCTGCATCACGGTTGTTGGATTTCCCCCTGCGAATTTCCTCAGATCCTCTTCAGTCGCTGCTCCTCTTGCTTTTCTTCATTTGGCCCATGTTTTTTGTCCGAGGCACAGGAGAGGGGGTCCAGAGAGGATGGAGGGCAGGGGTTTAGGGGATCGGGGGATTCGTTTTTATATTTCTCCTTGTGTATGTTGTTTTGTTTTTTTTTGACATGTCTGAGGTCTTGTCGTCTGAGCACTTTACAGCTGACGCAAAAGGCCAGACAAACGCTTTGGTATCCAAGAAAAGTGAGTCAAAGTTTGAGGCATGGACGCGTTTCCAGCAGATGATCAGTGATGGAAAGGGAATCGGGAATGTGTGTCACAATAAGTGTCAGTGTATATGTGTGTGTGTTATACTGTTGAAAGTGGGAAAAAATCCCTCTAAATTTGTTTGCCGTCATGTTTTTCATTGTAAGTTTGACAGGAAAAAATGCTGAAAATATTATGGATCAAAAGTGAAAATGGAATGAAAAAGAATGAGAAAATCTAAATCCTTGGTAGCAGAGGTAGATTGAGAAATACATTTACAAATAGTTAAAAAAAAGAAAGTTTAAATTATAGGGGTGCATGGAAAAATGTTTTTTGGTGTTGTGTAGAGTTAATCTGATCCCGGACAAGTCAGGTTTCAAAGTCTTAGGTAAAGCTTTTCTCTCCGATTTTTTGGTTTTGGTTTTTGGTATTTTGGTTTTGGCATTTTTTGTCTTTGTGAGTCTTTCCATTCTTCCTCCATGTGTTTATTTTTTGGTTTCTCTTTCTACCGTCCAGTGACACTTGTCAAATGTCCTTCCTTTGTTCCATTCGCTGCCACCCGTTTTCCTTTTTTGTTGTTGTTTCTTCGCAAAGTTTTTTGGCTCTCGACCCTGCCCTCAAATTCATCTGTTCGTGTAGGTTTGTCTTTTTCCATTTGGAAAGGAATAAATGTACATTCTCAAAGTAGCTCCGTTGAAGCCACCTCTCCACGCTGTATAGGTCAATTTTTTGGTTTAAACAGTCCCCCGTTATCCTGTTCTCTCCTTATCCCTGTTCTCTTCTGCTCATTTCTCTGTATTTTTGGCATTAAAAGACATAACGAGAGAGAGAGAGCACAAGAGAGAAATGGAGGGAGGGAGAGATGGCTTTGGTTGAAAAGGCGAGTCTTGTCTGTCTTCTTTCTTCCGCCCCTCTGACTCCCCTCAAGTGCAGCAGGTTGGTGTGGGCGTCACTCAGCCATGGCTCCGCCCAGAGTGGGTGGTGAGGCTTCGCCTAATGAGCAGAAGGAGGCGGGGCTTGAGCAGGGGGAGACGGAGCAGGAGTCTGGGCTTGTGCCGCTGGCACCAGGAAGCGGAGAAGCCCTGGGGGTGCCGACCAGACCCATGCCTGCGCTCCTCGCCAGGGGCAGTAAAGTGGGGTGGTTTAGGAAGAGGGATGGACGAAGTCCAGCTCCTGGACCTCCAGCTCCACCCAGGAACAATTGACCGCCTCCCTCAAGAGCGGAAATGGGCATCTGCCCACCACTGGCAGCCAGGGCTGTGAAACAGATGAGAGAAGAGAGGGGAAAGAGAGCAAATTAGGGCATACAGTGCATATATACTCGTACGATGGCTGTCTGATGACTCTTTTCCACCAAAAAGGTGCCGGTGCTTTTGAAAAAAGTTTTGCTCACCAAAGCTGCATTTATTTGATCAAAAATACAGTAAAAACAGTAATATTGTGAAATATTATTACAATTTACAATCACATTTTTATTTATTTATTTTTTAAATTTATGCTAAAATGCAATTTATTCCTACGTTCACAAAGCTGAATTTTCAGCATCATTACACCAGTCTTCAGTGTCACAAGATCCTTCAGAAATGATTCTAATATGCTGATTTGGTGCTTAATATTGCTTAATATTTTTGTGGAAATGTCTTTACAATCATTTTTGATTAATTTAATTTATTCTTGCTGAATGAAAGTATCAATTTATTTCAAAAATGTTTCTTACTAACCCCATTCTTTTGAAAGGTAGTGTAATTTATTTTTGTATGTTTTTTAATATATAACAAAAAAAATATACAATTAATATAAATAAATTAAAATGTATTATATATATAT